ACCTTTGACAGTCACGAATATGACTGTTTAGCTGCTAAATGTCGAAACAAAAAAGAAAGTTGTGACCAATGAGTCGAGCAGGACCAAAAAATCGTTACTAGGAACATGACTTGATTAGAGCCTGGGGTCGAGTTGGATTGAATCGAGCCCCAATCAATTAGGCCTGTCTACACCCCCCAATGTCCAAACCATATTCCATCACCGGCAAAACCACAGCCTCTTTGTCGTTATTGAGACGCGTTCTTATCATGGCTTAATTTTTTGTTCCGGCAAGACAAAAATTAAAAAAATAAAAATAAAAAAGTGTTAAACTGGCCTGCGTTTCCAGATGGGAAATCTAATTTAAATCAATAACAAACGAGTTAAATTTTTAATAGACTTCGATAAAAGTTGATAAAATTTGTGATTAAAAAAATCGTGAATCCCATTAAATATATAATTAAAATTAATTATTGAATTAAACTTAAAACTAAACTCTGAATTTTAATTTCTACCTAACAAGGTCTTAATCTCAATCGTGCATAATGCGTTTTTGTCCCATTGCAGACATCTTGCAAATCAACAAAATTAATTTGTTCTTATACCAATTAGAAAGCAAGAGTTGTAGAGATCAATCTCTTAAGAGAACTTAGTATTCCTCCAAAACAGACTGATCAATGCTTTTGGTGGGAAGCAGAATAAAGTAGACGCAGTTACATTTTTTTTCATTCTTGCACTTCAATAAGAGGGAAGGAATAAGTTAAAAGAGATCATTGCAAGATTGGTTTTCAATATTTAACTATACCCAGACATGTCCTACTTCCTTTTAAAAGAATGGCGAAAATCTTGTTCCCTTCAACATCACCATTTTAACCCTTTTGCTACAGTCTACTTCTATTCAATACTTACTACATATGGAAGATGCACCAAGCATACAAAGGGTTGTAACAAAGATTAATTATAGATTTTCATACAAAGAGGTGAAAAAGAAATAAAATACGCTAACTAGTTTGGCTCAAAATTGAATGGTCATACAACTGGGAATGGACCAATGGTTGAAATAAACATTAAAGATAGAACAAGAAAACTGCAGATAAACAGGGGACGAAAACTCTATAACATCTTGCAAATGAGTGGTTTATGACAAGTTAACAACAGTTTCCAAAGTTAACGGAGCACCATCAAACTTACCTCCGAGGAGTAATGTCAATTCACATCTTCCCATGATTGGCAGTAATTAGGTTGAATCCCTGAATACAGCTTCCAGCAACTGATGTTGATCCATATTATCGTTCCTGCTGCTTCATAGCAAGAAATGTCACTCTAAGTTGAGATTCACAAACAGCATGACCTTCCGGCTCCAAAGCTTTAAGAAACGACGCGCTCAAGTTATGAGCCTTTAAAATTTGGAATATCTTGGTACAGAACTTACGCACATCAACTCGTCTGGACTGCTTTTCAGGCATGTTGGTCAATAACTGCTTGATTAGATGGCATATCTTTGGAAGATGGCTTTTCAACATCATCTTTGAAGCATTCTGCCCGCTTTCATCATCAGCACTAGAAGAGATGAATGATTTCAAAATCTCCCTCACCAAATCAAGAGCTTCAACTTGTCGAAACTGTGATTTTGCACTACCACATTTCTCCAAAAGAAAACCAAAGAAGTGATGCCCAATCCAAGGTCGTCTTTTAAATATTTCCTTCAAAAAATCAGATTTCATCTGTGACTTTTTACTATCAAAATAGGCTATTAATGCAGCTTCAAAAATATCATACATCCTCTGCAATTCAGAGGATGAAAAGTTTCTTGCATCAATGATCTTCAAAATCCAAAATGTTGAGCTTCGAGCAAGTGAACTTATCATTTTGTATCGGTTCCACGAAGCAGATTGCTTCCTTTTAGATGGATTGGAAGCAGACTTTTTCCTCTTGAAAGGCTTTGCTGCCAACTTCAAGTTCTTTTCCAAAAGTGCTTCAAGTAAAGAAAGCTGCACAGCTTCACCTCTCGGATAATCCTTCGCTTTAAAGATTTTCTTTTGCAGAATACCCCAAATCCGCTGGGCGAGCTGCTCGCTACCTTCTGTAGTATGTGGATGAATAAATGCTTGAGCAAGGTGTGAGAAAACTTTCAGCACCTGCGGTTTACCTATATACAAGAAAATCTTAATATCCTACTTCTGCAAAGATGAATTAAGTGAATGAAACTATTTGAGTTCCATATACGAATATGTCGCAATGTGTTCACAAAATGAATGATGTAATTTGAAATTAAATATATTCTTGTACTGCTATTTTTTTTCCCTTCATATTCACTCCTTCACTTAATTTGAGGACAAGTCTCGCATTTCCGAAGTGACTAACATTTGCCAAAAGGTGTAATTAGGAAGTTAAAGAATCCCAAAGAAAAACGAAAAAGAAAAATGGATGACATTAAAAAAGACATGCTGTTAAATGAATTCCCTAGATTATGGCTTCCAAGAAGATTATTGACACAATGCTACTAACCTAAGGAATGCAAAGGGAAATGATGCAGAAATCAGGCTTTGATGTTGTGCAAGGAGATTTTGAGGAACCATAAGCACACTTGACAATACAAATCTTGCCTGGATTTTCATGTAGGTAAATCTCCAGCAAAGAGAGAACACGAAGCTTGAAGAGAACAAGCTGAGAATGGGCAGTTTCGCCTCCAGCTTGGTTCTTCCGTTCCCTGAAAATTTGTGCAAGATAAGTATCCATCCTAAACATTGCATCGTCATCCATCCCCTCATCGGATTCATCATCAGAATCTTCCCGAAGCTCCGTGTTTACGGTTTCAAATCCAGCCACTGCCTCAGAATCATCTGTCTGCTCATCAGTTTCACCAGTTTCACCAGTCTCAGCCACATCAGATTCCTCTGCTTCTTCAATAGCAAGAAGATCATCATCACCATCACCTTCATCTTGACTATCTGTATCCTGGTGTCTAGCTGGTTTTAAATCCTTTTTGATGACTCGCAACATCCGAAGCAACCCATCATCCGTAACATCTTTACAAAAACACTTGAAAACCTATAAAGACATTATTGTGACCAAAATTCATAAACCTGGATAATAAGAGAAGCAACTAAGGATTGATTTAATTATGCAACTAATTATTGACTGACTGCACAATCGATATGCATGGAAGCGCAAAATAGCAATATAATATTCAAGGTGTGTTTGAGCCACATTATTTTTAGAGAATGTATTCTGGAATAGTAGATTGATGGAGAATGTGGGGTTAAAAAAAGGAAAAGTTTTTGATTTGCATGTAATATTATTTTAATGAAGAATATGTGGTTGAAAAGATGAGAGAAAAATGTATTTTAGTAAAAAGGGAATCAAACATCCCTTCAAACTAAAACTGATGTGAAAATCAGGCTCGCCTCTCCGCCTTCAACAAAGAAACAACATATTCTTAGTTGCCATGCTCCAATTATTTGAACAAGGCACATAACACAGCAATAAATATGTTGATCTTAATATGACTGACAGTTAAAATAGGAATCTATTTTAACTTGTATTCTAGACTAGGAATTGATGTAGTAATAAGATAATACTTTCCTTTATACAGATAAATTGCACTAGTACTTAAAGGATTGATTATATGAATAAAATCAATTTAGCTTAAATTTCAACTTGGTATCAGAGCAAATTTAATCAGAATTTGGTTAAACCTAAATCGCTTCTGTTCAACGGTCTTTGATAGACCCTCGCCTCAAATACTAGTTTGTTATTCGTTCTAGAGTATTCCATAATTAGTTAGTGAAGGGGCAAAATGGTAATAGAAAGTTGGTAGAGTTTCTATAAATGTAACAAGGGGGAGCCGCATTATTCATTCAGGGAAAATTGGGAGAGGTCGGGCCTCTCGAAAGCCTTGGAAATTGTTACTTTCATTATGTTGAATTCCAATACATCATTCACTCCATTATTCAATATAACCAAGATCTATACTTCATAAATCACATCTTCAGTATACATAATTCATTTACAACATATGTAGTCTAACAATTCTATTGAACAGCAGACTCATAGGCCTCTAGCAGCAATAGCAGATCAGCATTCCAGTAGCAATAGCACGTGAAGTCCTTCGGTTGAAATGCAGCATCAGAGGATCCTAACACCCTTGTGCCGCTCGTTTGGCCAAGTTTTTTTGTTTCTTTTTTATATATCAAATTTAGTCTGAATTATGATTTTTAATTAGGGTTCAAATGGAGCTCTAAATTGCAAACCCTAATTCAAGAACCAACAAAAAAACTATGAAATCAAAAAAACCAAGAAAAACCCTAACCTATTTTGGTACAATGCGACCTTCGACAACCACCCAGAGCTTCACGACTATCTACAGATGGTCCTCAGACTTATTTCAGCAACAACCTTGACTTTTAGGTCTTCTGACGTGGCAGTCCTCAAAGCTATTTTGTGATTGCTAGAGAAAAACTCAATTTTATTGCAGCAATGACCTTGGTTTTTTTATCATTTGTTGTAATAGTCTTCAAATTTATTTTGTGATTTCTGAGAGAGAGATTTCTTTCTACGGACGTTGACCCAATGGGTCTTCTACTACCTCTAATTTTTTGGCGGTTCTCAAATCTTTTATTGTAGTGGCGGTTCTCCTTCAATTTCTCCCATTTTTTCCTAGAGTTACGACCTTTCGACAACCATTCTCTATGGTACAATCCTTATTCTTACCCAACCCTCAAGTATGCTTTAACGTTTTGTGTAACCTTTCTACTGTTCTCCCTACCAAAGATATCCTCTAGCAACCTTTTCTAGTGTTGCGCGGAACATTAATCTTCGCCGACCCAACCTTGTGGTACTCCTTAGGATGCTGACAGATTAGATCTCTCTATCTTATGTTGTTCGCTATTGATTCATGACATCTTCTACTATTGCGCAAAGAAAACATCTACATGGGCTAACTCTTGCAGCTGTGAATTTGGTATCATGCATGAAGGGCTTCAGTTGATTCCACGAGGTTCTGTTCGTGTGCACTACGTCTAGATGCGTGTATGAGGCCTTTATTCTTGAAAGACTTCTCACCCTCTTGTGCAAGCTTTTTGTGAGTGTTGTTTGTATGTAGGCTTCTTTTGTACGAGTATTTTGCTGCTTGGCTTCTGTTGTGCACGTATTGCTCTATGGGATAATTCAGTTGCTATTGACATTCTATACATTACTAGCCAAGTTGGGCATGATATCTATACACCAACTTGAGAGGGGTGTTAAATAGGAGACCTATTTAAACTGGTACTCAATGTATAGTCTAGATAGGAATTAATGCAGTAATAGGATAATACTTTTCCTTTTGTAGAAGGGAGTGCACTAGTATATATAGTGACGTAGACACTTTTGGCAACCTCCCGACGTGATTTCCCCAAGGACTCACAGGGTTTTACTCATCACATATTGGGGCACATAGTTCTCGGGGTGACATGGTCCTCAGGGTAATACACCCGAGGAGTGGCGACTTGCATCATCGTGATCTGGTCGGTGGTATCCTCGGCATAAGTCCTCGAGCATCCTTTTGATATACGGGGTTCATGAGTCCTCAAGCTATTACCTTCATACCAAATCCCCCTTCTGACAAGCCCATAAGAAATCTTACTTTCTACGGACTCTAAGATAATTCAAATACCTCAATCCAGGACTCCTACGTCCACAAGAATTCTATGTCAACAATAGCGTCATTGATCATGCAATTATATTACAAATAAAATACTCTTATCAAGTAGAACTCTATTGGATAAGAACATCCAACTAATTCAATCCTACTAGAAGTACACTACCTACCTCTATAAATACATGACCCAATTCCATTATTCGGGTACGCTTTTACATACAATTTCAGTATACGTTCTCTTAAGCATCGGAGGGGCGACGAGAACACACCTCGTTGCCTTTGTTTCAGGTACCAGAAGGCTCTGTTCGTGCGCTTTTTCAGTCCTCAAGTTCGAGAGGTCTACCAAGTACATTTTTGGTAGCATCATTGGCGCCGTCTGTAGGAAACGCTACCAAAAGCCATGGTGAACACACGTTCAGGTCTTCCTCCAGCAAGCACATCCGTTCCAGATCCTCCTCCTCCTGAAGGTCATCATGTCCCTCAAGAAGAATCATCAAAGATGCGAGCACCTCTCCCGACGGTCGTCACAACCGAAACCTTTGAAGAGCTCCATCAGTAGGTGGCCACACTCACGCAACCGTTAAGTCAAAGAAATTCGCATCCGTCACCAGCGCAGACAGAGCATGGTGGTTTTATGGCTGATACTCGAACCCGACCACCAAACCTTGCAACTGGCGGAGTGGGAACCACGGGAATTCGCAATATGGCCTCGGGCTCGAGATCGGTCGCCATGGATTCCAGTGAGATTGCCCGAATCATTCAAGAAGGAATGCCAGCTGGCCTACAAAGGAATGCTCAGGGGTCAACGGGTTTTATCACTAACACCCCGTTCACTCCTGAGGTATTATCATTCCCCCTACCGGACAGATTTAAGTACCCCCGTATAAAAGAATATGATGAAACTACAGACCCTATCAACCATCTTAATATCTATACCGACGACATGAACTTGCAAGTTGCCCCAAACCAAGTGATGTGCAAAGCTTTTCCTCAAACGTTGACCCACGCAGCCAGTTCTCAACCTTAGAGCCCAATTCCATAGCCTCTTTCTCAGATCTGGCCGATAAGTTCCCTGCCTTCTTTGCCAGTAGTAAGCGCATCAGAAAGACAGCAGCTTCTCTCATGCAACTTCGTCAAGGGCAGAATGAAACCCTACGTGACTTCATGGAGAGGTTTAATAAAGAAAGACTTCAGGAGAGGTTTAATAAAGAAAGACTTCAGATCCCCGATCTCCATATCACAACAGCAGTTTCCACCCTCACCCATGCTATAAGATGTGAAGCATTCAAAATGAGTTCGTCAAAAACTCCCCCGAAGTCAGTGATCGAACTTCTGACCCGAGGAGAGAAATACATTAATATGAAAGAAACATTGAATCCAAGGAGAGTTGGTTCGACTTATGATGGGGCCGAGCATAAGAGGCAACGTGAGTTGTATCTACAGCAAGACCATGCCAGTGGGAAGCAGAAACAGGGCACACCACCAACACTTACACATTTGAACACCTCTAGGTCAAACATATTGATGGAAATCAAAGATATGAAGGAGTTCAAGTGGCCACCGAGGTTGAGTTCTCCCCCTGAGACCAGGGACAAGAACAAGTACTGTGACTATCATCGTGATCATGGGCATACTACAGAGGATTCCATTACATTGCAATGTGAGATTGAAGCTTTGATAAAAAGAGGATTCCTAAAGGAGTATATCAAGCATGACAAGCGTCCCAGGAATGATCGCAACAATGGAAAGACCACAGAATATGGGGGAGGTAACCAAACAACAGCAGGTACCATCAACCTTATAATCGGGGGGATTGCCACGGGAGAAGATTCAAATAGTGGGCAAAAACAATATGCTCGACGACACGGTTCCATACAAATGACAGCTCCCAACGACAAGAAAAATATCACATTTGGATTCAAGGACTCAGAAGACATATCATACCCCCATGACGATGCCTTGGTCATATCTGCCATCATCGCCAACTTTGAAGTAAGGAGTGTCTTTGTTGACAATGGAAGTCCGGCCAATGTGCTGTCCCAAGAGGCCTTCATAAAGATGGGTATTTCTATTAGCCAGTTCAAGACAATCAAAACACCGCTCTAGGGATTTGGGGGTGGAACAATCATCCCGAAAGCAATCATTGATCTTCCCCTAACATTGGGCTCAAGGCAAAAGCAGGTGACTGAAGTCACTCCCTTTCATGTAGTCCATGCTTCGATGGCCTACAATGCCATCATCGGGAGACCACTGCTCAATAAAATTAGGGCCATTGTATCCACCTTCCATTTTGTTATGAAGTTTCCAAGAAGTGACGGTATAGGGATCGTGCGTGGTGATCAAAAAGCAGCAAGGCAATGCTATGTTACTTGTGTTCGGGGAATGAGCACTGATATCATGCAAGTATCGACCCCTGAGCTCGAGCTCAAGAACCACCAAAAATTTGTCCCAGAAGAAGAACTGATAGAGATCGGGGTCGAGCATAGCGAAGATTGATGATCGCTTAGGATTTATTTTTATTTTTTGGTTTCCATTTTGGCTTGTTTAGTTTAGTTTACTTAGGTTTGCATGCCCTATGCTTTTTTGGTTAGTTTACCTTTATTCGGGCTAGTACGCCCTATGCATTTTCTTATTTACTTAGATAGTTATTTTAACATGACCTACGAGCTTATTTTGTCTCTAGAAGGTAGGAAAGTATATATAAAGAGAGTTGGAACCACACGACACATGTTTTCTTCCAGAAGGAATACGCTGAAAAAGACCTGTCGCGAGCAAGCATAAAAAAAGACCTGTCATGTGCAGGCACCAAAGCCTTGCCTCGCACAAGCATCAAAAGCCCTGTCACGCGCAGGCACCATCAAAAGACCTGCCACGAGCAAGCACCAAAAAAGACCTATCGCGAGCAAGCATCATCAAAAGGCTTGCCACAAGTAGGCATCAAAAAATCACCGTCACGAGCAGACACCATCAAAAGCCCTGTCGCGCAGGCACCATCAAAAGACCTGGCACGAGTAGGCACAAAAGAAGACCTGCCACGAGCAGGCACCAAAAAAGACCTGTCACCAAAAAAGATCTGTCGCGAGCAAGCACCATCAAAAGCCCTATCATGAGCAGGTACCAAAGCCTTGTTCTACGCAAGCACTCAAGTCTTGCCCTAAGCAAGTACTTCAAGCCTTATCCCGCACAGGTACTATAAGCCTTGCCACGAGTAAGCACATCAGCATATCCAAGTCCCGCAACGCATCAAGTAAAAAACCCGACCACGGTCTATCTCGAGCTTGTGAGGCTCAACCTATTCTCAAATCCATGGGAATAGAGCTCGTGATATCATTTCACGTTGGGCTCGAGAGCTTGTCCTCGAGCTGACCTTATCAAATCCCGGCCACAACGGCTCGGGATATTATTTTTAAAATGGGCTCGGGCTATGTCCTCGAATTGATAGCCCGAGCCCAATTCATTGTCAAAATCCCAACCACAAGGGCTCGGGATATTATTTCACATTGGGCTCGAGGGCCTGTCGTCGAGCTCAATTCATTATCAAAATCCCAACCACGGTCTCGGGATATTATTTTTAAATTGGGCTCAGGCTATGTCCTCGAGCTCAATTCATTATCAAATCCCAGCCACAAGGGCTCGGGATATTATTTTTAAATTGGGCTCAGCTATGTCCTCGAGCTCAATTCAATGTCAAAATCCCAGCCACAAAGGCTCGGGATATTATTTTTAAATTGGGCTCGGCTATGTCCCCGAGCTCAATTCATTGTCAAAATTCCTACCACAAGGGCTCAGGATATTATTTCACATTGGGCTCAGGGCCTATCCTCGAGCTCAATGCATTTTCAAATTCCAGCCACAAAGGCTCCGAATAATATTTTAAATGAGGCTCGGGCTATGTTCTCGACTCAATTCGTTCCCAAATCCCAGCCATAAGGGCTCGGGATATTATTTTTAAAATGGGCTCGAGTTATGTCCTCGCAATTCAATGTCAAAATCCTAGCCACATGGGCTCGAGATATTATTACACATTGGGCTCGAGGTCTGTCCTCGAGCTCAATGCATTATCAAATCCCATCCACAAGGGCTCGAGATAATTATCGCACATTAAGTTCGGGCTATGTCTCCTATATGAACTATTGTCTATTCGTCGAGCTCGTTTTTTTCAGAATTTTAACAAAATTTCAGCTCGAGCCCTTCTTTTCAAATTTTAAATAAAGTAGGGATCCATCCCTTACCTTAAAACATGTTTGAGGTCGAGCTCTCCTCTTTCAAAATTTTTGACGAGGTCAGGGTCTAAACCTCTCAAAATTTTTTAATGAGCTCGAGGTTGAGCTCCTTCTTTAAAATTTTTAAATAAGGTCTGTGCATAATTTTCTTTTAAAATTTTGACAATATTGGGGTCGAGCTTGTTCCCTTCAAATTTTTAATAAGGTAGGGATCGAGAGTGCCTATCAACTCGTCATGAACTTGACAATCTCTAAGTATGAGCATGACCGCTCCTTGGCATGAGCTCCCTGACCTCTAGGCTTTGGTAGGGCTGGACATGGTCCGGTTCGGTTTAGTTCTGACAAGAACCGAACCGATCCGAAATTTTCGGGTATTTAATAAGTGGAACCGTCGTGTCCAAATTTAATTACGGAACCGTTCGGGTTCGGTTCCATTCGGTTCGGTTCGATCTGGTTCGGTTCCATTCGGTTCCGTATTATAATTAAATTTTTTAATATACACAAAGTTACGTTAATTTAATTAATGATATGTTTAATATTAGCTCTTAAAAAATAACGTAGTTCAATTTTATGTGTTTACTGAATTTTTCATAAACTTGATTATTAAAATCACAGAAAGAGAAAGATAGCGAGCTCAAAATAATTAAGAGAGATGTTGTAGAGCTTTAATTTGATTTTCTCCCGTAGCAACGACACTACAGTAGAATAACATATTTGGATAAAATTGAGGTCAATTTGATTAAGTCGATTTTGAACTGAATATTAGAAATAGGAAAATCATATTTTGTGGTTTGAACTAAATTATCTAGTTAACAAATTTATTTAGAAAAAATAAAATAATTTTACTTATTTAAAATAAATTAATTAAAAAAATTACGAAGATTCGGTTCTTATTCGGTTCTTCGGGTCTTGACCTAGAACCGAGAACCGAACCATACCCGTCGGTTCTTGATTCAAATACCCGTTCGGGTATTTAATTTGAGAAGAACCGTCGGGTTCGGTTCTGTTCGGTTCGGGTTCGGTTCGGTTCGGGAGTTTTGTCCAGCCCTAGGCTTTGGCACGCCTATACATTTGCATGAGCTCACCAACCTCTAGGCATGAGCACGCCCTTATCTTGGCATGAGCTCGCCTATCTCTAGGCATGAGCATGACCACTCTTTGTGAGCTCCCTGACCTCTAGGCTTTGGCACGCCTATGCCTTGGCATGAGCTCGCCAACCTCTAGGCATAAGCACGCTCTTATCTTGGCATGAGCATACCCATCACCCGACCTGCTTGTGCATCTCATCCCAGAAACTTGCATATCGCGCAAGCCTCTGACATGGATGCACGGGGGCCACTGATGTAGTCACTTTTGGCAACCTCCCGAGGTGATTTTTCCAAGGACTCACAGGGTCTTGCTCATCACATATTGGGGCACATAGTCCTTGGGATGACATAGTCCTCGGGGTAATACACCCGAGGAGTGGCGACTTGCATCATCGTGATCTGGTCGGTGGTGTCCTCGAGCATAAGTCCTCGAGCATCCTTTTGATATACGGGGTTCATGAGTCCTCAATCTATTCCCTTCATACCGAACCCCCCTTCTGTCAATCCCATAAGAAATCTTACCTTCTACAAACTCTAATATAATTCAAACATCTCAACCGAGGACTCCTACATCCACAAGAATTCTCTGTCAACAATAGCGTCATTGGTCATGCAATTATATTACAAATAAAATACTCTTATCAAGTAGAACTCTATTGGATAAGAACATCCAACTAATTCAATCCTACTAGAAGTAAACTACCTACATCTATAAATACATGACCCAATTCCATTATTCAGGTACGCTTTTACATACAATTTCAGTATACATTCTCATATAAATTCTGTCTGACTTAAGCATCGGAGGGGCGATGAGAACACACCTCATTGCCTTTGTTTCAGGTACCAGAAGGCTCTGTTCGTGCGCTTTTTCAGTCCTCAAGTTCGAGGGGTCTACCAGGTACGTTTTTTGGTAGCATCATATAGGATCGATGGTATTAATAAAATCAATTCAGCTAACTCTGACTAAACTCGAATATAAAACTACAGTCTGCAACAAATTTGATGAAAAGCTTGAATAAAAACGGATTAGGCAAATTGGGCCACCCTGCTATGTTTGAAACTCTCTGTTGGTCATGGATGAATCATCTTGGTTCTTCAGTATGCTAAATTAACTCACTATTAGTGATGTAGCATAACATAGATATAGAAGCAATCACATGGAAGGAGAAGAGGGGAAAAAAGAAACCAGATAAAAGAAACAGAAAGAAGGAGAAGAAGAAAGAGAGAAGAGAAGAAGTGGACGGTGGAAAGGAAGAGATCTCTACAACACTTTATGTTTAATTCATTCCAATCAAATCTGTCTGTTCTTACACAAAGGCTGAATATATATCTAAAACACAAAACATAAAAAGGGCTTGGGCCAGCCCAATTACATAATACAAGCCCAAAGCAAAAGGCTGCCTACATATATAAGAAAAAAGGCTTGGCCAGCTTAAACTAAGAAACATAAAATAAATAGCCCACAAATAGAAATCCAAAATAGGTGGAGTGATGTCCTCATCAGTTAAGGCTCAAACTTATCTGTTAATCATGGGATGAATCATCTTTAAGAAAATATTGATTCTTCAATATGCTAACACAGTTCACTTAAGCCAAATCTGCATGTATGATGAGAGAATCACCTATTATTTGCAACATAGTAATATTCGTACAGTATCTCATGAGCATTGAAAACCTATAATCTACCTAGTGACTGGAATATATGAAATATACCTTACAACAATCTTTAGCAATAAGAATCCCTCGCCTTATCGTAAATAAGATTTCATTCAGTGGGTAGGGAATTTAGCAAAGACGGTGGGGAGGCAACAATATAGAGGATTCTGATGTAACAAAATAAATAAAAAGCTGCTCAACCTAGCAAAGCAATATAACACAGATATTTAATTGAGAACAGTTTTTATAGATTCACAAGATTTTCTGAGGATGAGAGGGGGGAATATTCATCTAATAATCAGTCACCTCATGGGTATAGATACAGTGTTCAAACACTTACCTGCTCGATAGCATATCGCATAGGAGCTGATGACTGTGGAACTAGGGAAAGCAACGTGTCTACAAGAACGTCCATTAACTCAGGTGTACTATCCCCCTCTAATTCATCTTCACCAGACGATTCCAGAAGATCAGAAGGGCCAAAAGCTTTCTTGCAGCACATAATAAGTTCAGAAGCAGCTTCAGAGAATTCCCCAGGTCGGACTAGGATTTGAAGTAGCAGTTGGATTAGCAAATACCTCATGGCATGCATTTTACTCACATCCATGCTAAGATCAGGATTTCTTCCCTGCAGCCACAAGAGGTTAACAAAATAGTTTTATTCATCTATTAAAATATCGTATGAATTAAAATAAATGAGGATTTATTTGAAACTTAAATCTGGAGTGCATTGTCATGCATCACAACTAGAATCCAGGTAGAGGATGTAAACCAAAAAGGATAAGATATAAGTAGGAACTAATCTAGGAGAATCTTTTTCAGCATACCACAACAAAGATCATAAACAGCACCCCCTCCCTTCCCAACAAGAAGACTAATACAATAAAATGATTATGGAAAAAATTATTAGAAGATTGTGAAGAACAATGTGGAGCTAGTCTTAGTGTGGGAAATATCAAAAGGGTAGATACCTCTCTCGATAACTGACTCTGCATTGATTGCAGTTTTGATAACTCAGCTTGCAGTTTTTTGAATGCTTCGTCATCATCAGTGCTCAAGGCCCTTGATAATGAAACTGAAGGGATGCTGCATAATATACTCAGAAACCTCATAAAGTAAGATCCAAGATCATTTGCCTCAAGACCACATGCTACCGCATGAAGTTTTTCCCCTTTCTGAGCATCTGGAAACAGTAATTGTAGCTGTTCCCCTTTCTGAGCATCTGCAAGCAATAATTGTATGTGCTCAATACATACAGCGCATAAAGCACTAGAAATTGCTGTCCGTGGCCACCTAAGCTTATCCTGTAATTCAAAAGACGTCACTTCTGTCCCAATAGCTGAAGAGAATAGTCCTTGAACAGACAAGAAATTCAGAATTTTCTTTTGCTCGTGAAACCTTGCTTCCGGATCTAGCTTTGAATGCTTCAGCACACTGGGAAGAGATTCAACAACCCAGGTTCTGAGAAAATCAGGACTTCCCATATTTCCAACAGAATCCATATCTTCTATGGAACCCATTTCCGAATTGTCATCTGTTGTTTGACTCTGATCTGATGGTTCCTCTGAACTATGACCTTCTTCCAGAAACATAGTCATCAAATTTTCAATAAACAGATCGCATCCGGACTTCAACTCTGACATGAGATCTTTAACTGTTTTTGACCTGGTGATGCAATCGAATTTTCCATTGGAGTTTTTCTGCAGAGCCACAATAACTGCAACTCTCCGGGCATCATCATGCTGGACCCACTCAGACAATTCTTTAAGAAAATTTTCTGCAACTTTGTAAAGCCAACTGTCTTTTGTTGCAAGTACATCCATAAGACACTGGACAACTTTGTGGGACAATACTACATGCACACAAGATGCTGGCAACTTCGGTAGTAGAAGCAACATAACATCAAATGCTAACTTCTTTCGATCATGAGAGGACGTTAAAAGTGATCCTTCAATAATAACATCAAAAAAGCATTTAAGATTTTTCTCGATATCTTCAAGGGAACTACCCTTGCGACCTCTTTTGTGCTTTTTAGTGGTACTCGGACCTGATGCAAAGTTTACATCTTGCACAACAGAGTCAGGGAGGAGAATATTTACCAAAACAGGCCAGACGCTATGAAGCCGAGGCAAAGAGAAGGTGGACTCCTACAATATTTACAATAAATAGGTCAATTATATATACGTATCAAGATTCTACCGTTCTCAACGGTAATAACCGGAAATATATATATATATATATATGTTAATATCACCTTTAAGCAATTAGAAATGGCAGACAAACGATCAGCAGAGAAAACCCTGCTTTGATTGTATGGAGAAGGCAGAAGTTTGGAAAATGATTTAGCATCGGCACCAATTTTTTCTTGTATTTTAAAAGCTAGAAGCAAAGCGTCAGGATTTCCGACTTCAGTTGCTCCTTCAAACCACTCCTGAACTCCTGGTGCTTCAAGAACGTGATTCGACAGGGCTTCAATGGGTAACTGAGAAACCATAGCCAACATCAATGTTTTAGATGAATGGTGACGTAACTGTCAAATTATGGAGAAGAAGGAACAAGAAGAGAGACTAAAGCGACAACACTAAAAATATAGAAATTAATTACAGAACGTAGAAAACCATGGAACCAATAATCAAATTCTCCAGTATTTCATCAAATTATATGTCAACACCCCAGTTTTTATGCATGCATGTGCATAGAAAACCTCTAATGCCTAACCCCTATGAACAGAAATTTCAGGGGAGGAGGCACGGGGGACAATCACCCAGGATTTTTTCAAAATACACACACATAATAAATGTTAAAACATCAGTTATTTGACATAATCTGTATAGCCTAATGGTAAAGGTCTTACTTTGTGATGCAACCAACCTGAGTTCGATTCCTAGAGAACATGCTATTAATTTTCCCTCTTTTTTTGTTTCGAAAAATTTGCACAAGTAGTCATTAACTTTTAATACCAACAGCAAATAAATTCTCAATTTTTAAGATAGGATTTTTCAGTTCTCAACCTTTGCTACTATTTGTTTAATTTGTCTTCTAACATAATTCCATCAACTTTTTTTTGCCCCACCCCCACCAAACTCAAAATTCTGGCCCTACCACTGAGAAAATTGATTATGATCCATACAGTACTACAACAATGCAGTTGCAAACTGATAGAAAAACGTGTAACAGGGTAACGAAATCAAGGAGAATGTGGACATCGCTAACATTCTACTTATTATAAAAAATAAATAAATAAATGCAAATCCCTTTTCAGATGAACTTCTAATTTAGACAAGTTGTTGATGATTCATTTACTTTTCCGGAAAAAGCAATTTGTTGCATATTCTACAATGGCATAAGAACATAACATGTTAGAAGATTGAGCCTACAAGTGTTCATCATGAGCTTAATGTTAAAAATTTCAAATATGTTTTTTTGGGTTTCCTTAACTTATAATTTAAGTTGGTCAAACTTTAACCAAACATTTCGTAAAATGCACAACTACTATTCACTTATCAATTGCTCATTTCTAACAAATTATAATCTCAACAACTTATAAAGAATCCCAATTCTCAAACAAGCACAATAAATTTTAAGATCTAAGGAGCGAACCACATCATTAAGAGCTGTCGAAATTGTTGGAGTTCATGGCAATAGAAAAATCATGGAATTAGTTATTCATTCAGAATGGCCAAAATAAATAAATAAAGTCAAGAAAAAGGTAAGGCCTCTCCCGGACCCCAACAACAACGACACCTATTAGCTTTTCTTTAAAGATAAGAGTACCTTCTCAACCATTTCCAAAATAACTGAGACAGCAGGCTCTTGAAGGTATCGCTTCTTAGCTGAAAGTGATATAAGACAACTAGTAAATTCTTTAATATAAGGAGTGTTCCTATCTGCGATCCATTCTTCAGTCAGTCTACCGGATCTAGCCAGGGCCCCATATGCAAACAAGCGGCCCAACAGGCAGTCTCTAGCTTCCTACAAAACCATCTCAAAATTTTACCAAAGAAAATGGCAATAGAATTAAATCTTACAACATAATGAGGCAACATTACCCACCTGACCCTTCATTGAAGAGGATACCTCCAATAAATTAACAATTAGCTTTAGCAAATACTCCACTTTGATGCTAGAAACTGTACCCACTAAAACTGAAAGGCCCAATGCAAATCCTTGTCTTGCATACTGTAAAAGAAAGAAGGGAAAAATCACGTCTAGGCCTTAAGTTTTGCAGAGATGTCAGATGTTGTAGATAATAAGACAATTTTCACATCTTGAAACACATTTTTCCCAATAGATAAAGTAACCACAGTCTAAGTAACACTCCACGTCATTAATTGAGAAAGAGATATTAAATTATCTAAAACTTCCTCAGAAAGCATACTTCAGATTGAAATTGAATCACTTATACTCTATATAGAGCCATATGAAACACATGTATACATTGCAAGTTCATTTGGATAAAATACAAAGCTATTCAAAATTTGCTCAACATGAGACACCACTAAAAGGGTAAAAAACTAAAAGGCCTGCATAAACAAGAGCCGAAATTTTAATTTCTGATTAGTCAGCATCAGAAAATAAATGTCAATAAATCAGAGCATTGATGGACAATCTGATGGTAAGATCTGGAAGGCATTCAATACAAGAGCCAATGGAGCATTATCAAGTACAAACAACAAAGTAGAAGAGGACAGTTACCAATTATTCAAGCAAAAAAACTGTACACGATCTTTCTATTTCCTAGAAAGTTGGAGAGAGCTTGTTCAATAAGTTATTACTCGACCAGATACTAACATCAACATGATAACGACACAAGATCCATTTTCCCCCCTTCATGGAAAATTAGTTACCTTTAATGAGCATTAACCCGTGTTTGGCCCCCCATTAAAATTATAATCATTTTTTCTCTCTTTTTATCCGCCACATATTCTCCTATAAAATAATATTACACGTCATCCCAAAAAATTTTCTTTCTCTTTTTTAACCACGTATTCTTTAATAAAAAAATAAAAATAAAAGCAATACTCCAACCATTAAAATTTCAAATAATGGGGGCCGAACTGGGGCTTATTCTATGTATATCAACTACATGGTCCATTAAACATCTAGATCCAAAGTCAGAACATTGATAAGATAGAATAAAACATATGAAAACAAAGAACAGAGATTGTTTATATAACATTGCAGGGAAACTACGACTCGCTTGACTATGCACAAGATTTTCACACATACCAAAAACACATAGTTAAAAATAAGCTGAAATTAAACAACTTGAAATAACAGAAAAACCGCACCTCTCTTGATGAGGATACCCCACGAATGAGCCTCCGAACAGCATATCTCAAGGACGGGGCGCAGTTATTCAACCCATCATCCTTCTCAGCTTCCAAATTCAGAGTGCACTCCACTACTTGCTTATCCTCCAACATATCATAAACATTCTGAATATCCATCAACTCTGTAACCAAGGCCTTGGCCGCTGCTTCCCTGACACTTGCATCAGCTGCTGCAAGGTCCTTAAACACCCCAATGTGAAACTCAGGCAAAAAACCACCACCACTACCACTTCGAGCTATACTATTGTTTTCGTTCGTTTCTAGTTCCAAACCCATTTTTCCAGGGGAAGAATGGTGTCTTTCTTTGTCTAGTAATTTTCGTTTCTTTTTCCTTTCCATTGAATTTACAGAAGTCTTATGGGTAATTGAGGGGGATGATGGCCCATTCACTCCATTTTGATCTTCATTTTCATGAGTTTCAGTTTCAGTTTCTTTTCTCTTTTTCTCCTTTTTCAGTTTCTTTTTAGAAGGTTTGGGACTAGCATCTTCATTCCCCAAACTCAATTCTTTCTCTTCCACTATATCTGCTTCTTCTATAGTATTGGACCCTCTCTTTTTGCTCCCCATTAAAGCAAAGAGTAATTATCTGCCAATTTAAGTACACTCACATTATGAATCAATCAATTAATTTCAATTAATCCAAAATCAAACTGACTAATGAATATCAGGAAGATGTATGCATACGTACCGGGGCGGAGCCACCAGAGGTCTAGTGCTGGAAACTGCCTCCACTGGGTTATGGTCCTGGATATTTCACCTACTAAATATTGTTAAAAAAATCGCTGTTGCTAGAGGAAGACTAACAACAAGAAACAACAATTCTGGGAAATTAATAAATAAATTATACGGAGTTGAGTTCAAATTAAACCATTCACAACAATCAAATAGAATGCAATTTCAACATATAAAGCCCGTTTTAACACTTAAAAAATATGATACTACCTCCCGAGTTTCGTGATGAAGAAGTTGAGTAGAAATCACAGCAACACAAGATAAATTGGTGCCGACGGGGTGATGGATATGTTCCCAATTTTTAGGGCAATAACGAGTAATAAAACCTAGGCCACTTTGGCACTGTCCCCTTTGCTTTACGAATATGAGGGGTGTCCTCAATTTAGACTTTGATGAATTTTAAAATTTCATATAAATTGAAGTATCCTCAATTTAAATTTAAATATAATTCATTAAAATATAGGTTTTCTCAATCTAAGTTTTTAAAAATACTTATAAATTTAGGTGTCCTCAACATAGATTTTAATAGGTAGTTTTGAAATTTAGATGTCCTCACTAACTAATTGATTTTAAAAGATTTCATTAAGTAGATAGATTGTGATAGATTTTGAAGGATTTCAAGGTAAAAATATAAGTACAAAGAATCAGTAACAATTTTAACCCAAACCTAAAAATTTCACAACATTTCTCACCTCTCTCCATATTTGCCGCCCTCTCTCTCTCTCTCTCCATCTTGAAAAAAAATTTCTTCTTCTTTCTATCTCACATTTCTCTACTGTGAAAAGATCGTATATGAGAACTTTTCAATTGATGATAATTTATGAAAGATTACTATTTTTTATTGAATATTGAGTGTGATTTTTTATTAAACTTATTTTTTATTATTGAAGTTATATATTGTTTACTATTTTATAGATGCGCTGGAAATTATCATGGTAATTTACGATTTCTAGTATGCATACTGGAACAACTTCGTCTTTCAAATTCTGTACCCTATTCATTTTTCTTGGGAAGAGCTGTGTTTTCTATATATACCTGCAAATCCTAGCCAAGACATGTGAGGATGGTATCCCACAACTTTTTCTTTTGTGTCTGCATGGTCAATGAGAATTCTGGGGGTATGAAATTAATTGCCTTGTGGTCATGTATGTGTACATTTGTGTGTTTGTATTTCACAAGGTTGTGGCCTTTTGAACTAATTCATATTTATTACGACTTTGATTATTTAACACTACATATTTTTGTCCTCTCCCACTCTCGCATTTTGTTGAATATTGGGTGTATTTTTTATTGAAACTCTGTTATAATATTCAATGTTTAACAAACAATTGAACAAGGATTCGATCATTTTCTGTGATTTATTAACGTGCATATGTGTAAGAATAAGTCGTTAAAGAAGAAGTAAAAATTTGTGACTTATGTTAAGCATATTTATAAATTTTACACAGAATCTATAAAATCCATGAAAATCTACAAAATAGAAATCCATTCAAATCTTATGAAATCTATTAAATTCTATCAAATTTCACACAATCCATGAGAATTTATAAATATTAAGAAATCTCTTAAATTCTGAAATGGGGACACCCCCGTGAATGTGACTAAACAGCCAGGATAAAACTTGTTTACCAGGGCCCAGGTGGCCCTATACAACAAGCAGGTTCTTCGATAAAGATACTGGGTAATAGGGCTGGACAAAACTCTCGAATCGAATCCGAACCGAACAGAATCGAACCCGACGGTTCTTCTCGAGTTAAATACCCGAACGGGTATTTGAATCAAGAACCGACGGGTATGGTTCGGTTCTCGATTCTAGGCCAAGATCCGAAGAACCGAATCTTCGTAATTTTTTTAATTAATTTATTTTAAATAAGTAAAATTATTTTATTTTTTCTAAATAAATTTGTTGACTAGTTAATTTAGTTCAAATCACAAAATATGATTTTCCTATTTCTAATATTCAGTTCAAAATCGACTTAATCAAATTGACTTCAATTTTATCCAAATCTGTTATTCTACTGTAGTGTCGTTTCTATCGGAGAAAATCGAATTAAAGCTCTACAACATCTCTCTTAATTATTTTGAGCTCGCTATCTTTCTTGTGATTTTAATAATCAAATTTATGAAGAGTTGAGCAAAGAGAAACGTGAAACACATAAGATTGAACTACGTTATTTTGTAAGAGCTAATATTAAATATATCATTAATTAAATTAACATAATTTTGTATATATTAAAAAATTTAATTATAATACGGAACCGAATGGAACCGAACCGGACCGAACCGAATGGAACCGAACCCGAACGGTTCCGTAATTAAATTTGGACCCGACAGTTCCACTTACTAAATTCCCGAAAATTTCGGGTCGGTTCGGTTCTAACGAGAACCGAACCGAACTGGATCATGTCCAGCCCTATTGGGTAAGCCCTATCCGAACAGGGCGCCTAATCCTACTGGAGGGGGCACTTGTGGACTGAGGAGATTTTTCTATTTGGCTTGATTTTGTACTTGTTTGGTAGAAATTTTAATAATTGAATTTTTTACCATTAGAAATAAAGTGGGTTCTACTTGTGAGAGAAGAATTCAAAAGTAATGGCTGAAATAGTGAAATAACGGTTAAAAAATTATTTTTAATTGGATTAATAGCTATGCCAAACAAGTTGTCTATTTCCTTTTAATTTATTCATAGAAAAGTCTATACTGTCATTAACGAAATGATTCTTCTTATATTGCAATATATATCTCGATCTTTTAAACTATTTTTACCTTATATTTATTATATTCTGAATATCAACATATAGGTCCATTCTATGATATAATATATTGGAATAATCTACAACATATTGTTCATATTTTTTATTAGATATATTATATCCTTTAGAAAATACATCTACATTTTTTAATTGAGAAATAATATTTTTTATTTATTCTAACATTCTTTCTAATAGATTATCTAATCTTTCAATTGTATATCCTAGCATTCAATCATACAAATAATCCTTACGATTTTCTAAGATCTTAAAATGATTCGTTCTAATTTTAACAAAAATTGATAGTCTCACTTTAGTTCTGATTTGGACCTTTATTCTTAGAGCTAAGTGACTTTCATTGTGTAAATTGCTTCCTTCAATGGCTTATTGTCTTCACGAAATTTTTACTATTTCAGTTTCTTGCTCTCTTGTATCAATTCCAAAGAATAAATCTCTAGATTTTTATTAAAGAAAACTCTCTTTTTGCTAAAATAAGAAAGAAACTTTCTATTAGATCCTTCAAGAATCTATTGGAATAAAGATTTAGAAACTTATATTGATATTCAAATATTGAAATTTTATTTCTATAAAAATTTATACAAGATTTCTATTTAGTACAAAAGAATTTCCAAAAAAATTGATTTTTCAAACAGAGGATGACTTGAAAGTAGCTATTGATTACAATTCGAAATTTCAAGATATCTTCATCCTTTCCTCATGCCTCTATTTATACATACATATGAAGCTCTTATTATTGATTTATTTACATCATTGCATACATCAGCCATATCAAAAGGCACACTTGCCTTTTTATTATTTTCTTTCTCGGGCCTATATCTTCACATGCATCTTCTGCTTTTTATAAAATAAGCTCTATTATTGTTCTCCTTTCATGCAGCTTTATTAAAGGAGCCCTATTATTGTCCTCTTTTCTTTATTTTTTCACATGCAAATGGGACAATCTGTTAGCTGGCAGAATTTTTTTATAGTCGTAGGATATCTTGAAAATTGATGTATGTCGAATTTCATGATGTAGTCCTTCAAAATTTCTAATTTTCCAATTCCTCCATTTGTGACTAACATCCAGTTTTCATATTGGCACAAGCATGAAAATTTATTATCATGCAAATTTTTATCAATATTGTATATGGCTTTAATTTCAAGTGCTCTTCCATGCTTGATCCATGACTTAGTCGCTTTTGGAGCCTTTTTATCATTTTCTATAACATCTATTTGGAAATTAGATGTTACATATCCAATTGATATTATATGTTCAACTGGATAATAAACAACCTCATCATATTCAGGACTTATTGAATAAAATTTCAAATATATCCTTCGTCCCTTGACAAATTTTGATATCTCAATCAAATCTTTTTCTGGATACATCAAATCCAGAAATTCATAGTCTGCAATTATCTTTATGAATGAGGGGTCTCCTCCTTCCATAGCTGTCACTTTAGGATAAACATTATTTTTCGGAGAGATGAAATATGAATCACTCATTTTTGTTTCATAAACGATTCTGACTATTTTGACATATTCTTCTTCTTTTGGATCTAAATATATCATATCATCTTGGTCTTGGTCTATGATACTGATAGTTTTGGAATCTTTTTTATCTCCATGTATCACCGCTTTTTTAGTTGATGTTAAATTTCTTTTTTTATCAATTGATATGGTGTCACGTTTGGGTCCACTGTTGCTTCCAACTATCCTTGTTTGGTTTTGATTTGAAAAACTCATTTTTTAACTCTTTGGTATATCTGTCTCAGACTATATATCTTTTAGTTGTGCTACAATAGCATCAACTTGATTTTTGAGTTCTATGGTTTTTTTATAATGCTCGATAACGATATTCAACAATATTTTTTATATTTGAGTTGAACATCTCTGAGATCTGTGTTACTCCAGTATTTATGTCTTCAGATTCTTCTTTAAGAAAATCTATCATTTTTTGTATGTGTAGGATAGATTAATATAAATCCATGACTCTGACTTTATCCATCAGCAAATTCTATGTTTCTATTGAGAAAATCTGCAAAAAAATTATTAACTTCTTTAATATGAACTATATCAAAATTATAAAATGCTAAATAAACTTGCCATCTATAGAGCCTTATGTATTGAGATTCTAATGATAGTTTATTCCTGATTAATCTTGCAACTTGAGAATTATCAGTTTCAACAATAAATTTTTTAGATAACAAAACTAATGAGAATTTTTTATTCTTCTAATAATTGCTAGTAATTCTTTTTCATGAATGATATAATTTATTTCTGCTTGATTAAATGTTCCACTTGAATATCTATAAATGTCATTTAGATCTGTTTTTAATATTGCTGACCAATATTTATCTGAGGCATCGGTATTAATAATCAAATTATGGTAATATTAATTTTGGTAAATTTTTACATTCTTCTTTTAATGATTTCACTATTTCTGTATGTTCTTCATTCCATCTTTTAGTATTTATTTTTCTAAGTAAAATTTGTATTTTATACCTTTTTTTTTAGAAAGATTTCAACAAATCTTTCTGCATAATTTAAACATCCAAAAAAAATTTGTATATGTTCTTTAGATTCAAGTTTATCTAGAAAACTTTCTATTT